GCAGCAACTGCTGTCCGGTAGTTGATCCAAAGGTGCTGCTATCTTTGACTCTTCCTTGTCGTCCTCTTCAGCTGCGTCCATGAACTATATAGTGACCACTGTGTTGTTCATTTTGTATACTAAGAGGCAATGTGGTCCATTGAATTGGATATTGAACAGGGCCTCGGGAGACCTGGGTTGTATTCTCTGCTATGCCAGTGCCCTATTGTATGACTTGGACTCTGGACAAGTTATTTCTGTTTTTCATTGTGCGCCTGGTATCCCCTCTCACTCTTTATCCATCTTGTTTAGTTAAATTGTAAGCACTTAGCTAAGGGACTCTATTTGTTCTGGGCACTATGCCTTGATGCTCAACCTCAGTGACGCCTCCAGGTGCCACTGTAATATAAATAACATCTAGGTCCTTAGCTCTCCATTTCTGTTGCATACACACACATTGCTACCTCTACTCTTCCTTGTTCTCATTTTTAAAAAATAAACAAATATATATAAGTTGTCTGGACCTTTACTAAAAATACAAAATCAACTATTTAATTCTCCTAAAATTACTCTTTTGACCACTTAATACAACCACCGAGGCTCTTGGGGGCAGAGACCTTGTTTTTTGTGTTGATGGCTAATTTTTATTGTTGTAAGGCACCCTGTACACCTGTGTTGCTATATAAATAAACTGTACTAATTGAGGAAACCACTGAATTGCTGTCAAAGTATCAGGGCTTTTTCCTTCATGTAGCCATTTGCATTTTTCAAGCTTTTTGCCACTCCTGAACTACTACTAGTAGTAGTAGTAGTAAAACACTAGAGTAAACTTCTGTCATTTGTTAGATTCAAAATGAAAGTGGTAAGGTGATTATTTTAAGTTTGTGTTTTTGTTAAATTTTCAATTCCTTTTTTAAAAGTCACTAGTAATATTTATTTAAAGTCAAGGCTATATCAGCATTCAGACCCTAGAAACTTTGAAGAAGCATGAAAAAGAAATTGTATAAACCTTATAGTGTTAGGTGCAATTAAAATAAACTTTTGTAATAGATTTTATATAAAATCTATGTAGTTGAGAATTTTAAATTTGTTTAAGTAAACATGTTTTTCATAGTTGTTACATTTATGGTCACCACTGCAATGTGAGTCTCAATTCAGATCTCCTGATAAATGAAGACTTTTTAAAAAAAAAAAATCCAAACCCAGTTTTATAAAAATGTCTTCTTTGATTCTAAAATCCAACATATATTTTTTTAGAAATGTAATACTTTAATTTGTTTATAATAAACACATAGAAACTGTCTCTATATTTAAAAAGTGTTCTTTTCTCAAATGTAGAACAAACTTTTTCTATTTTTATTTAATGTAAAATAAATAAAAACACTCTTCAAAAACACATTTTTCCTAACTTTTCATGACATCGTGTATGTTTCTCCAGTGATTAAATATACATGTCCCAAGAGTAATAGGACTTCCTGTCAGCAGAATGATAAATATTTTAGACAAGCATATTATAAATCAGCCATGGGGGGAGGAAACAAATTGGTAAAGTGCACAATTACCCCTCCTTAAAATTAATCCCATGTTCTATTACTTGTTAAAATAATCTTGTATTATCTAAATGAATTTCTTCAGGACACTAATTGTTTTTGCTGAAGCAGTTCTAGTAATGAACAAAAACTCCATTCTTTTACGTAGCCATAAAGTATAAACCAGGTGTTTCATCAGTTGCTACCTTGTACACAAACTTGAATTAAACCTTCCAGTGATTCTGCATTTTCCTCAATGGATCATCAGTCTGTATGATGTACCTAGCCTCTGTTTGCCAGAAGCTGGGAATGGGTGACAGGGGATGGATCACTTGATTACCTGTTCTGTTCATTCCCTCTGGGGCATCTGGCATTGGCCACTGTCGGAAGACAGGATACTGGGCTAGATGGACCTTTGGTCTGACCCAGTATGGCTGTTCTTATGATGGAAAAAAGGGGAGAGAGATTCAGTTTGATGCAAAATACTGACCATGCATCCTTATGGCATCTACTGTTGGGCAATCTGAAAATGATCTTCGGCAGCTTTGTGCATTGAAAGGTATAGAGAATTGGCAGAATACTGGCCATGGAAGGAAGGAAGGAGGGAGGCATGAAGGAAACAGACAGCAGCGAAGGCATCAAGCTTAGATGACTGATGGATATATTAAAAATATAATTAAAGAATAACGTACATTTTGTCTGCTGCATATTTGCTTTATCTGCATAGCAGTGTCATTTGGTTTTTACTGTCAATGCTGTCTGTATAAACAAAATTAAGTAGTGGTGGTGGTGGTGGAAGAGTGTAGCATAAACATAAAAGGTAAAATCCTGGTAAAATAACTCAACAATTCTTTTTATAGGAACTCAGTGGCGAAAGGACCAAGAACAAGATTTGAAAAATGTCCTGAAGAACATTGACCAAGACATTCCATTGGTATTTGTCAGCGGAAATCATGATATCGGCAATGTTCCAACACCTGAAACAATAGATGATTATTGCAAGCACTGGGGAGATGATTACTTCAGTTTTTGGGTTGGAGGAGTTTTCTTTCTTGTGCTTAACTCTCAGTTATACTTTGATTCCTCTAAATGTTCTGAGTTAAAGCAGGCCCAAGATGAGTGGCTCAATGCACAACTGGCTGTAGCTGAAAAACAGAAGTGTAAACATGTAATAGTATTTCAGCATATTCCTCTATTTCTACAAAACCCGGATGAAGACCATGACTATTTTAACTTGGAGAAGTCAGTTCGGCACGAGCTGATGGAAAAGTTTCATAAAGCAGGTATCGTTACTTTTTGCATTTGACTGATTTTTCTTTTCAGCACTGTGATGTGAACAGCTCATATCCTGGGATACAATAAGTGGACATTGGTGGCGTTTGGGTTAAGAGCTTTGTTTTGGGTTTGGCATAGGAAGGGAAATTTTTATGTTTAGCCTTTTTAAAAAGAAAAGCAATTAGAGGTAAATGAATTACATACAGTGGGTAAACTTTTTTCCCCCCCCGAAACAAATTAATCCTTCATGGACAGCGATTAGTTTGGACTGCCTATTTGACAAGGGTGAAAGAGAGAGATGAGTCCCAAGATGCTTGATTGTGTGAATGGACAGTATCCCACAGATTGAAGCCTCCCACTGCTCTGTGTGTGTATATAATATTTTTAAAAATTACATCCAGAGAATAGGCTGTATCCCATACAAGTGAAGCACCAGATAATACTGATTAAAGTCTCGTTTAGAATGATGTGATTGACAAATCTGTTTGATCTGACAGGTGTAAAAGTTTACCTATGGTAAAGAGTAGTTTCAGGCAGCTCAGCTCAACTTTGTGAGCTATCAGCCTCAGCAGGACATCTCCCATTTGACATCTCCCCATAAAAAGAAGAGCTGCAGTCACAATAAAATGTCATTGCTGCATATCACCGTGTATTTTACCTTGATCACCTTAGCTTCGTTATCCATTTAAAAAATGTGCTCTGCATTAACCAGTAGCAAAAAAGAATAGGTATGGTTGTTCTAAAACAATGACCTAGAATTTCACATACATGGTTTTTGGGGGTATTTAAGTCTATGCCTGTGTGTGTCTGTTCCCTCCAAAAAATAATTGCCAATATTTTATTTCCCAAGCTCAAAAACTATCACAGTAGTCCAGCAAGCATCTTTGAATGTTAACATTTTAAAATGTTTATCGTTTAAAACAAAAACAACAACAACACAAAGCTATCCCTTGGTACTGTTAAAATTTTAACCTTTTCTATCACAGAGTTTCTCTGACATTGCAATAGACCTCACAGATGCATTATTACAGAATCATACTCTGCCACATTTTATTTTCGTTATTAGATCCCTGCTGCCAGTCTGACCCTAATATGAAACACAATGTCCCAGGGGGATAGGAAATAATATAAGAGGTAGAAGGAAAAGTATCATCTTTCAAGACTGTCCTGGAAGATCATAGTGGAGGTTCTTGTACAAAATATAATCCTTCCATTTTATCCTTTTAATCTTTGTGAATGAAATTGTTTAGAATTTTTTAAGAAAAATACAATATGCACATCTGTTTATGGAGTTTTAAAGAGCTGTTCATATCAGTACTAGTTTAATAGGAAATATATTTAATAGGGTAAATACTTATACATTTTTAAACACTTTAAAACAATGTATTTGTGAGATATTCTTACTTAGGCGTTATCTTCACTGCAGAGTTTTATTACCAAAAGGCAACTTTTGGCGACGAAACAATGGAGGTGTACACACTGCAATGCCACTTTTGGTAACAAAACTCTTCAGTTTCAGCGAATAAAACCACCTCGATGGGAGGGACAGAGCTTTTTGCGACAAAGAATTAGTGTAGATGCTGCCGTTAATTATATCACTATAACTGGCTTCCCCCAGTACTCCACAATGCCTGCCATGACTGCTCTGCTCACTGTTTTGAATTTGGCTGCCCTGCATTCCTGCTACACAGGAATGCACCCCTCCCCTTCCAAAGCTCTGTGAAGTTCTGACAGCTAAGCATGCCGCTCAGCTCCCGCAGCAAAGAGGAAATCATTAACAGGGAATGCTGCTGTGTCCACACTATGGAACACAGATTTTTTTTTTTCACTTCAAGGTCCCACAAACAGAGACAAGGTTTTCATCTCAAGGCCAAAAGACCAAAAACATCAAGACACTTGATCACGGCCTTGGATAGACCAAGAGACTACCTACACTGACCAGAGCTCGGTACTACACTTGACAGAGGCAGGCAGGCAGAGGCATAGGGGGTGTGGGGGGGGGGCGGTGAGAGAGAGAGAGAGAGAGACTGAGACTGCTGTGCTGTGCTGTGCAGGGAGGCGGGGGCTGATGTTGGGGGGGTATCCCCCTCCACCGCCTCAGGACTGGTCGCTTCTGGTGGTTGGCTGAACTTAGAGACAGCATGCCGACACACTCCCTCTCCCCCGACACACACCCTGTCTCTCTCACATACGCACTTCCCCTCCCTCTCTTACTCCCCCAACACACACTCTGTCTCTGTGTTTCCCACACACACACTCCCCATCACATGCTCCTCTCCCCCCCGTCCTCCCGCAAACTTCAGTTGAAAAGTGACTGGCAATCTAGCAGGATGCCCATGGAACGATGGGATTGTGCAACCTACATCATGTGATGCTGTACCTGTCCCATGAGGCATTGCAAACCCTTCCCAAAGAACCCTGCAGCCAGTTGCACAGTGGAATAGCTACCCACAGTGCACTGCTCTCTATGCCAATGCGAGAGCTGCTAGTGTGGATTTACTCTGCTGACACAAGGAGCATAGTGTGGGCAGGCAATAGCAGTTTAAAGTGCTTTAATTAAAGCGACAAAACTCTGCAGTGTAGACAAGGCCTAAAATTAAATGGGTGTCATAAGTCTCCCGTAGGTAAATAAGCATTAATGTAGCATTAATTTTCAGATTCTACAAAATTCTGCATATTTTATTTGTCAAAAAAACACAATATAATCACACCAGTTTCAATTATTTTTGGTCATTTATTTCAAAATACCTGTCAGCAAGTACGTCTGTAACAATACAGACAACAAAAAAGATTCAGAAAATGTTTTTTGACAAATAGATTCCTTATTAGGCATATTAATACAGAACTCTGAGTAATAATTAATTTAAACTACAATACGGAACTGTATTTCCCGCACCCCTCAGAAGCAGAAAGGCTTTAGGGAGTCAGGGTTAACAAAGGAGCTGAAGGAGAGGGAAGTAATTTCTGGGAAGGAGCCTGGGTGTGAAATTTGAGTGTTATTGGATATGAGTGGGAAAAGTATGGATGAGGTTTTGGGGGGGGGGGGTGGAGAGGGACTGCTAGGGAGCTTCCCCCAGGTAGACCCTGGCTGACCCCTAGCCTCTCCCATTCAGCAAGGACACAGTGTCCTTGCACCCCCTATCCACATGTGTCCTTCCAGCCCCATTGAGACACTCACTCACCCATCCCCATGTGGCCCTGCACCCCCTGTCCTATGTGTCTTTGTGCCCCCACTCAGCAACCTGCTTGTTCCTATGAAGCCCTGCTCCCCCCCCCGTAGCTCTGCACCTCCCTCTACCTCTGCCCATGTGGCTCTGCACCTCTGCTCCCATTCAGCCCCTGCCCCAGTCTGTCCTCCGCCACTACCCCTTATAAGCCCCATCTGACCCCCCGCCCCAGCAGCCCACGCTGTCTGTCTCCCCATAGCCCCTGTCTCCTGACCTGGTGCAGCAGGTGCTGTGAAGAAGACAGGCTCTTTCTCTTCCCCAGCTGGCTTGGAGCGGCTGCTGTGTTCTAGCACCACAATGCCCTCTGATGGGCAAAAGGCGGAACTATAGCAAATTTCCCGCAGAAGCTTTTTTCTGCCCAAAATATTAAAAATATTCACTGCTCATTAATTATGTACACATGCACTGGTGCAGAATTCCCCCAGGAGTAATAGTGTTACTGAAAACTAGCATTCCACTTGCCTTTTAAAGTTCACGTTGTACAGTGCTTCTCCCTATCAGAATATTTCACAGAACTACATCTTGCATAGTCTTATCCTGCCATTAAACTGAAACTTGGTTGACTGAAACTTTTATCAGTATATAAAGCTCAATCATTCCTATTTTCTGGCTCGTCGCAACCATGTTAACACTTCAAAGAGCTATCTGTTTAGATAATGTTTTACATAGTTAATTAATTTAAAGATAACGTAAAATAGTACATGGCTGTTGTATTTTAACTTGGTGCATCCCTGGCTTTTTTATAGTCTTTCTTCTCACAGTGATATTTCATATTCATTTGTCTAAGACATATTGGTAGCAGTAATAAAAAGTCAATACTTAAATATGTTAAAACTTTATCAGAGCACCAAGATAGCTTTAATTTATGGGAAAAAGACAGTAATAAAAGACCACTCTAATGAACAAATCACCCACCCCCACATAATAAGAGGCACATTCTGTTTTGGTTCACTTACAGATATTTTAATGGATAATTCTGGCTTATTCTACAGAACAAGTAAATGATTTAATAACTAATAACAATCAAACATTTGTATTAATTAAACAAATGAAATGAGGATAAAACACTAGGAAGCTAGCAATACAACAGCCTAACTAAATAAGCTGTGAAAAATTCTCTGAATCAAAAATGGAGAGCGCTCTGTGGCTCTGAGTTTCCTTAGTAACAGATGCATTCTGCTTCCATTTTTTTTTTATTCTCTTGAAGAGCCTTCTTTGTAGGAGTATAAAAAACAGTTATCATGGTAGCACAGATGTGTAGTGACACTAGTTATTTTCTATTTTTATGCTTTTCCCAAGAATTAATCAATTTCAGCACGTCCTTGGTTATGAAATTGGTTTTCCCCATAATTCACCTCATATATACATGGAGGAAAGAGAGAGACAATAGATAACAAAGTCCCAGTGTACTCTGTTTGCTTATTTTCTTAAAAAAAAAAAAAGACACTCTGGCTCTTGCAGGTTAAGGAGTTTAACCTTTTGATCCCTTAATATTTATTCTAATTTCCTGACTCTAATCTGAGAAAATTATTCTGTCTTTTTAATGAAAGGTTTTTTAACACCCTTCCATACCCTCCCCCGCCAATGTTCTAGTACTTTTCTCTGCCTCAGTGGGAATGACTTGAAATGCTATACAAAATGGTTTGTAACGATGAAAAATTCTAGTAAAGAATTTTCTTCTGTAAAGGTTAACAAGATATTTTTGTCTGAAATTGGAATATTGTTCCTGTTTTTAAAGTCTGTCTTTGTCTGTTTCTCTAATATCGAAAAGCAATTTTAAT